CTTTAGAAATAGGTTGGATTGGTCCTTCATGATCTGGCCCCTGCCATCTCTTCAGCCTCATCTACCATGCACAGTCTGATATAATATACAATGGGTGCATTTAAGACAAAGTTGTTTTTCTTTTAGGAATTTTAGTAATAATGTGACATAGCTATAACACTTGAACACCACTCAGAATACCCAGTATGTGGTTACATTTAGCTTTTGCTCAAGTATAATACTGGCCTTTATCGTCCTATCATCACGGGCTTCTTATCAATTCTTAATCCCTCAATGGCTAGGATGAGCAATGGCCAAAACCATTCACAATAGCTTTGGTGTCCTTTTTATCACCTCTGATTTCTAGAAGTAACAAATCATAATCAGTAGAGGTCTGTATATATAAACTATGTTCCTTAATTAATTGGAAGGGTTATATCGAGTTCACGTAATAAAAATTCACATCATGAGGGAAAAGACTATACTCACACTTTCGTACACTTCTTTGTTTGGAAGCTTCTCTTCATCCTCTGCCTGTTCCAGCACTTGTCTGTGTGTATACATGCATGTGTGTGCATACATGCACATGTCTTTACACATGGGATGGGGTGGGAAAGAATGAGAGCGTGTTCCTTGCCTTTAAGAGCATGACCTCAAGTTACACACATTATTTCAACTCACATTCTACTGGACAGAATTTACTTCCATGTCCATGACTGGCTGCAAGGAAGGCTCGGAAATGCCTATATTTTGGGTGGCCATGTACCCAGCAAAACATCAGGGGGTCTGTTAATATACTGGGGGACAACTGCAAGTCACTGTGACACATTGATAGTCTCTTTTCTTTTGCTCCTCTAAGGCAAAACTCAGCTCTGCTCGTTACTGTATGCCGAAGGCCTACTGAAATGTGCAGCACAAGTAAACCTATAACAAATCTTTAGAAAATCAATGAATAAACAGAAAGTCATAGAAAACATAGGGAACAATGGTAGAAAAGCCGCTCACTCCAATTTATGCTAGCTCTCTCGTGTTCCCAGTGGAAGGAAAGGGAGAAAGAGGAGCAGGTGAAGTGGGAGGGAGCCCTCCTGACCTCACAGCTGTCTTCTCATAACCTCACAGCTGTCTTCTCATGAACTGTTTAAGGCAAAGCACTAGTTCAGTGATAAGTCACAGCTTTGGCACGGCTCTGGGGCTTCACCGGAATGGTGTAAGGCAAAGAACCAACCCAGCTGTCACAGAAAACTCTAAATTTGGTCTAGACTTCTAAATGGAAGCATTAGACTACATACATGGTGTTGTCTCTGGAGCCTTACGAGGGTTTTAAAACTTTACATTGTCTATATTTGTGCTTTTATGAAATGTATAATACATAAAAAGAGTGTATATAACATCTGTACAGTTTTTAAAAGACTAATAAAACAAACAATAGCATTTCCATCATTTAGCTTAAGAAACAGAACAGTCCGTCTATCTTTAAAGCTCATGTGCTCCCTTCTCTGATCATAACCTTCTCCATCCTCCCCAGCAGTGATCTCCTTCCTGAGTTTTACATTTATGTTCCTTTACCTTCTCCACATTTTTGCCACATAAGGACGCATGCTAAAATAACACAGTGTTAGGTTCTGCTTGCTTCTCACCTTATACAAAGGGAATTAGACTATATACATTATTATGTGACTGCTTTTGAGACTCAACCACGTTAATATATAGTATAGTTCAATCACTTCCATTGCTGTGTAGTATTCCACTGGAGGGCTACACTACAATTTATATATCCATTCATCTGTCTATGGGCATTTGAACTGTGTGTTTTTTGCCATTAAAACAATGTTGATTTGAACATTCTTGTCAATAGGTTTTACCTTTCACATTTGAGTTCTTAACCCTTCAGAAATTTGTTTTCCTAAACGACATGAGAAACAAATCCAATTTCTTTTTTTTTTCTATAACGATAACCAATTGTCTCACCATGCTTTACTGAATAGTCTGTCCATTCCCTACAAAAAGGAGCTCTGGTGGCGCAGTGGTTAAGAGCTCAGCTGCTAACTGAAAAGTCGGCAGTTTGAACCCAGAAGCCGCTCCACGGGAGATGTGGCAGTCTGCTTCCATAAAGATTACAGCCTTAGAAACCATATGGGGCACTTCTACTCTGTCCTATAGGGTCACTATAAGTTGGAATCAAATCAATTCAGTGGCAGTGGGTTTGTTTTCTTCTTTTTTTTGGAGGAAGGGTGTTCCCTCCAAATCTGTAATGCCATCTCTCTCCCAAATCAAGTGCCCGTATGTGCAGGGGTCTTCTCCTGGGAGTCTATGGAGTTTTCTGATGGTGCTTTGGGTGCCACCCAGAGGAAGGGGAGAAGGGTAGATGGAGTGGGAGGGTCTAAGCCGGTGGGGCTCTGGGCCCCCACCCCTACTCAAAACCATCTCCACTTTAACCTGTTTCCTATACTGAACCGCTAAATAAGCCTCAAACGACAAAAGGTTCAGTGACTAAAAAATAAGTTTGAAATGTGTTGGATTATATGAGTTCTAAAGCATTTTCTAGCATTAAAATCTGTTTTATTTTCTACACATCACACTACATGTACATTTACATCAACTGCTTATAAGTTGTGATAATAGGTCACTTTAGAGTTAAAAAATAAAAAAACATTGCCATGGAGTCGATTCCGACTCACATCGACCCTACAACGCAGAGTAGAACTGCCCCACAGGGTTTCCAAGGAGTGGCTGGTGGATTCGAACTGCCGATCTTTTGGTTAGCAGGTGAGCTCTTAACCACTGCACCACCAGGGCTGCAGATAAGGTAACCTCTATTAGTATTTCAGAAAGGACCCAAACTTCATTTTGAAATAATTAAATTGCCTTATTAATCATATTTGGATCATGATAAACTTGTTATTTAGGATCCTCATCAGGTGTTAATAATTACTGTGTTCGCTGTATGCCATAAATGTTTGTGGTCTTCTCTATTTTCTAAAAAAGCTCAAGCCAGAACTGGTTGTTTCATATAGACCATTAGAGTCGCCACAGAGATAAATTTTTTACAATCCTAAAGAAAGCCCCAAAAATGAGCTGTTATTTTTACCTGATTAAAAAAACTGATGTGAACCAAATGATGAAAAATACAGAATAAGGTCACTTCTAAAATTTCCTGTGGCATCATTTTATAAGATTTTGTTGTTATTTTCCATACTTTTGGTTCTATTTAAAAACTTTTAATTGAAGTATAATATACACGTAGAAAAATGCACACATATTAAGTATAAAAAACTAAACCCATTGCCATCGAGTCGATTCCGACTCATAGTGACCCTAATAGGACAGAACAGCACTGCCTCACAGGGTCTCGAAGGCTATAATCTTTATGGAAGCAGACCGACACATCTTTTTTCCCTCAGAGTGGCTGGTGGGTTCCAACTGTTGACCTCTTGATTAGTAGCTGAGTGCTTAACCATTGCACCACCAGGGCTCCATATATTAAGTATGTTGTTGTTAGGTGCCATCGAGTCAGTCATGACTCATAGTAACATCTTCACAATCGTTGTTATGCTTCAGCCCACTGTTGCAGCCACTGTGTCAATCCATTTCATTGAGGGTCTTCCTCTTTTTTGATGACCCTCTACTTTACCAAGCATTATGTCCTTATCCAGAGACTGGTCCCTCCTGACAACATGTCCAGGGTATGTGAGATGAAGTCTCGCCATCCTTGCTTCTAAGGAGCATTCTGACTGTACTTTTACCAAGACAGATTTGTTCATTCTTCTGGAAGTCCAAGAATATTCAATATTCTTTGCGAATATCATAATTCAAAGCTATCAGTTCTCATTCACTCTTCCAAATTCACTGTCCAGCTTTCGCATGCTTATAAGGCAACTGAAAATACCATGGCTTAGGTTAGGCGTGTCTTAGTTCTCAAAGTGACATCTACCTTGGGTATTGATTGTGAACTCAAGTAAAATGAAATCCTTGACAACTTCTATATCTTCTCTGTTTATCATGATGTTGCTTACTGGTCCAGTTGTGAGGGTTTTTGTTTTCTTTATGTCAAGGGGTAATCCATATTGAAGGCTGTGGTCTTTGATCTTCATCAGTAAGTGCTTCAAGTCCTCTTCACCTTCAGCAAGCAAGGTTGTGTCATCTGCATAACGCAGGTTGCTAATGAGTTTTCTTCCAACCTAGATGCCCCGTTCGTCTTCATATAGTCCAGCTTCTTGGATTATTTGCTCAGAATGCAGACTGAATAGGCATGCTGAAAGGATACAACCCTGATGCACACCTTTCCTGACTTTAAACCACAAAGTATCCCCTTGTTCTGTTCAAATGGCTGCCTCTTGGCCTATGTACAGATTCCACATGAGCACAATTAAGTGTTCTGGAATTCCCATTCTTTGCAATGTTATCCATAATTTGTTATGACCCACACAGTTGAATGCCTTTGCATAGTCAATAAAACACAGGTTAACATCTTTCTGGTATCCTCTGCTTTCAGCCAGGATCCATCTGACATCAGCATTAATATCCTTCATTTCACGTCCTCTTCTGAATTCAGCTTAAACTTCTGGCAGTTCCCTATTGATGTCCTGCTGCAATCGCTTTTGAATGATCTTCAGCATAATTTTATTTGTATGTGATATTAATGACATTGTTCAATAATTTCCACATTCTGTTGTATCACCTTTCTTTGGAATGGGTACAAATACAGATCTCTTCCAGTCGGTTGGCCAGGAAGTTGTCTTCCAAATTTCTTGAAACAGACAAGTGAGGACCTCCAGTGCCACATCCGTTTGTTGAAGCACCTCAATTGGTATTCCGTCAATTCCTGGAGGCTTGTTTATCACCAGTGCCTTCAGTACAGCTTGGACTTCTTCCTTCAGTACCATCGGTTCTTGATCATATGCTGCCTCCTGAAATGGATGAACGTTGACCAATTCTTTTTGGTGCAGTGACTCTGTGTATTCCTTCCATCTTCTCCTGATGCTTCCAATATTTTCCCCATAGACTCCTTCACGACTTCTTCATTGCAAATATTAAGTATAGGGCTTATGAATTTTTAACAAGCTGAAAAGTGTCATGTAACCAGAAGTATTTTTTGGTTCAGTTTTAAAATTCAAATCCATTTTTTTTTTTTCCTTATCTATATGGAAGAACGAATAAATTAATAGAACGCAGTTTTTAAAAAACAAGGTTATATGCCACCAACGGGTTCTGAGTAATGACCAAGGATCTTTTTTTTTCTCAAGAATGAGATTTGCAGGCTGTAACAAATGGGCTTTGCGGTTGTTAGTTTATGCCCTCAAGCTTCATCTTCTGTGATCTCCAAGCTCTTTTCCAGTCCACTGGTTCGGCTACCAGTGGTCTGTCCACTGTGTAGATACGATTTGTAGAAATTAGTTATTCCGAAATTAAACCCAGTTCATAAAAATAGATCCCCAAATGGAGAACATTTTTAAATAAAATAAATTTCTACATCACATACATTAAGGCTAAGAGATAGTACACTTGATAACAATCTTGGCATAAGAATATTTTTATTTCCTATATGATTTGAAATAAATGCATTGTCTGTGTGACAGTGAGGTAAGTATACTTATTACTTACTACTTCTTAGGGACAGATTAAAAAACTAGCATTTATAAAACGTCTATTGTAATTTCATTATAAAACAAATCCTACATATAAGTTAAGATCATTGTTTTAAAAAAAGGAATATACAAAAGAAATCAATTTTTATACACTATTTTACAACCTAAAACATAAGAGACAACTAGGAAAGGTTAAGGTTATTTTGAAATAATTATATGTAATTTTTAGAAAAATATGTACTTTTTTTATGTTCCCTGCATATTGTAACGAAGTTATGAAAAAAGTTATTAAACAACATTTACAAGGCTACAAAAAATGTTCTCATCAAATTTCCAGATATAAACCTTTACAAGTACTTCTTCTATTTCAAGTTGTAGAACAAACGTGTGGTATGAGTGCAAAATTGCTATTCTACACAATGTACCTCCCTTCAGCCAAAATGTCCCTAAAATGTGCACATCAACCAGATTCTGCTTTAAATGCTCCGTTACAGAATAGCTTGCTATTTAAGAGATTCTTATTACAAATCCTTTTGTAAAAAGGATAATCAACTCATGGTTAATCTATTTCAAATACTGCCTTATCTTAAGGCAAGGCATCTCCAAACAGATTAATTACATACGCTATCATTAAGTATTCATAACCCCAGTCACCAACAACCATTAGAGAGAGAAAAACTCAGAAAATTCAGGTCAGGTCAGTAGTAAGAACCCAGTTTTCCCTGATGCCAGTACTTCCATATTTACTGTGCAAAGCAAATCGTCTTAGAGAAGTCAATTCTCAAGTGGTTAGAGCTTTACAGGAGATTTTAATGTCAAGGCTATAGAAATGCCATTCATTAAACTAATGGGAACAAAAATGGCACTCTAAAGGTAATATTATTGAGTACAAACAGAAGTACTAAGTAGCCCCATGACAGAAAAGAAACTGTAATCAAAATTGAGTATACGTTTCTACTTGGATCAATGAGAATTAATGTAATTAACTTACTCATTCTTGAGTTTTATTATCCTTAAAAATGAGAGAAAACAAATCACAAGGACTCCTACTCTGTTCATTAAAGCTCCCACAAGGGCTTCTCAAATAAGTAGGTTTGTTCCTACAAATAAGAAGATATTGAAGACAGAATTCTCCTTTACGATACATGTTTTTTCCAGTGCCTAATTCAAGCCCCACATTATCCTAGGCACTGGAACAGACCAATGAATAAGGCCAAGGAAAGTGCAGAAAATAAACAAGTTAATAAATAAACCAGAGATGTGCATATTGTGAAAAGCAGAATGAAGAAAATAAAAAATATGCTGTGATAAAAAATTTCAGGACTGGGGGTGGGGGGTGGACGCTGGAAGAGGTCAGGGAACAATCACAAGAATCAGCAGGAGATGCAGATACAGAAGGCACTTGCACAGGGGCACTGAGAAAAGCTTGGTCTTGCCTGAGCTGATCGGGGAAGAGCCTACAGAGTGAGCACAGTAGAAATCCCAGGACCAGGCGCTGAGACAATCCAACAGGTGCTTCAGAAGACTCAGAAGGAGCAAGAAGAGGAGAGAAGATGAAGTGAGATGAATGCAGAAAAGTGAATGCTGTATCTGGCAATATGGGAGTCACTGGTAACCTTTGTAAGAGCCAATTCAGTGCAACACTGAGGTTGGAGTGACTAGAGGAGAAAATGAGAGGTAAGGATGAGGAGGTAGTACTCCTAATTCCACAAGCATCAACTTTTTAAAGCACCATTTTAGTTTAAACCAATTATAAAAAAGGCAACCCAAACCCACTGCAACCCTATAGGACAGAGCAGAACTGCCCCATAGGGTTTCCAAGGTGTAAATCTTTACAGAAGCAGACTGCCACATTTAACATCTAACTTTGTACTCACAATATCCCACTATGGTAGTCAGGACTGATAACAGCTCTATTTTTCCCATGAGAAAACTGAGGCATAGTGAGACTGATTAACTTAATAGCTTATTTTGGTCATGAGTGGCAGTGTTTTTAATTTTTTTTAACCCTTGTGAGATAATGGGTCCATCAATTATCTTGTTCTTCTGAAGAATTGTATAGTAAACCTGAGATGCTAGAGTTCAGGTTAGCGTTCATTAAAACTAGTTCTCTTTCTTGTCCTACAACTCTGCTGTCTAAGCAATACAATGAAGCAGCAGAGAGACTCTGAACAACAGGAAGTCTATGATTAACGTAGACACATACACAAGTTAGATCTCCACCTGTTATCTCATACGCTTTGAAATGGCACCCCCACCTCCTCAGCTCAATTGCCAACAGCAGACTATATAACGAACCATCTGTACCGTAACAGTGAGAGCCAATTGAGATGGGTTGATGATACCAAAGAAGTCTCATTTTTAAATGTTTTTCTCCCTTGTGTTGTTAGGCTCGGTAACATTTTTAATTGCATGACAAATTGAAAACGTTGGCAGGAAGTTAACTTTTGTAAAATTTGAGCTTTTTAATATTACTTTGATGGTCTTTTAGGTGAATTTCTTTGCCGCTTCCCCACAACAGAAGGAAAAGTTGACCCTATGAACCAAACCACTGGGAAGCAAAGCCTGCATCTATGTGGCATTAACAGAAGAGACAAAAATCTTCCACCAGTCTCTTATGATTTGACTGAACTATTCAATTAGGCTTTTTCAAGCACAAAGCTGACATGCATGCAGATCTCACGGTGGTCCTTGGACCAGACAGATTAATAGAATAACTGAAAAAGGACAGTCATTTATAGTAGAGAATAGGTGTGATTTCCCCCTTTTCCTGCTGAAATGTTAAAAGAATTCTTCAGAAAAAAAATTTTGCTCCCAAATGAAGCACCATGAAACTTTTACAAAAGCTGGTCAGCTGATCTAGTCTCTCACCAAGCATGTGATGTGTCAGGTCAGCTACATTATTATTTAAGGATAATCATGAACATGATGTGTTTGCTAACTATTTCTTCCCCTGGTAATCTGATACAATCCTCCTAGTTTCGTGAACATGGGTAAGTACAATAGAATACTGCTTGAAAGTTCCATATTTCAATTAACTTTCTGAAGGATGGGAAAGTTCCTAGTTAAGTTACAGTGATTTCTCAATTACCCATCCTCAGAAAATAAAATTCCTTTTTAACTTAGTTGGATCTTAAAACATTTTCAATTACATACAGCAGTGTTGTCCTAGGCCACAAAAATCAAGGCAACATTCCCACTTAGTAAAGCTACAGAGAACAAAAATATACCTACGCATAGCCTCTACTTCTCCCAAAACGTGACATCTAATGGAGAGCCGTGGAGCTGATGATGGTTGTCAGTGGCCCTAGCGTCTCCTTTTGGGGACCTGCCTACCTCTCTCTTTTTTTTTTAATTTAACCTTTGGTGAAAATATACACAGCAAACCCTGTTTCCAATCCACAGTTTCTAGACATAACGATCAGGGACACTGGTTACAGTCTTCACTTTGTGTCATTTTTGTCAATTCTAGTTATTTTTGTTCTAGTTGTTTCATTTCTGTTTACTTAATCTCCCTGCCCCCCAGCCTTCTCTTCTATGCTTAAAAATAGCTGTTGATCCTTTGGTCCTAGATCTTTTTTTTTTTTTTTAAAGAAACACAATACTCAAGGGTGACAACCTTTACTCTTTGGGCTAAACTATAACTTAGTTTAAAGGCAACTTTAGGGGAGGGTTTCAGTTCAAGGTTTGAAGATCAACTCAGGGCCACAGTTTCAGGGAATCCTCCAGCTTCAGTGGTTCATTGCCCTGCCCACCTCTTAATGGTGATCTGTATGCTTTAGACCTTACTCTTCATTGCTACACTATCCTATGTCTCAAGAGCTCATGGGGAACTGAAAATTGTCCTGCATGGCTACAGCAGAGTGCTCCCTACTCTTACTGACTCTTACTAGAAAGGATCTAGTATCAGTCATTTACCCTTGCTAACAAATTATTCTTGCATTTGAGTGAGTGCCAGGTGGTACTGCTGTTCCAATAATTACACAGTCTACCTTTTCATCAAATGTCAAATGAAAGGCTTTGTCTCCATCAAAGGAATTTCATATACTCGAAGCCAGGCGGAGGGAAATTATGGAGGCAAATGTAAACTCCTCATTAAGCCAACCCTGAAGAGAAATTAGAATTAGGATACTGTGAGTACAGAAGATATCTCTGCCCTTCAATAACTTTCTACTCCCCTAAGTGGCTGTTCAAGTATGATCCTAAGTCCCAAAAAATGTGCACTGTTACCACCATGTCCTTCCATGTTTTGCAGCCCACTCTACTCTCCTAAGGACAGCTGCCTGCTAAAGCCTGTGTCACCCTCCCCTTCACTCCTTGCCTAAGCACTCATGGAGTCACTCCTTTATTTGTTCCAATTCTAGCTACTCTCTGTACTTCAAGACTCCAAGATGCACATTTAATGTTTTCTAAAACATGACAACATTTGACACTGAATAAAATGTTGGTACCTATCTTAGGCTAGATTCTCTAGAGGAACAAAACTAGTGAAACATATACATAAATATATAGAGAGAGATTTATTTCAAGGAAATGGCTAATGCAGTTGTGGAGGCTGGCAAGTTCCAAACCTGTGGGTCAGGTGTCAGGCTGGAGGCTTCTCCTGACTCACACGGTTGCAAGGGCTGATGAACCCAAAATCCGCAGGTCAGGCAGAAAGCTGCCGGCTCACAGGGTTGCAGGAGCTGGAGAATCCCAAAATCTGCAGGTCAAATGGCAGGCTGCTGGCTCATGTCCCAAGAACCAGAGGTCGGAGGATGATAAGTCAGATGCAGGATCATGAGAGGGCAAGCTTTGCCAGAACACTCAACAAAGTTGGATGCAGGCCACAACCCCAAGGAAACTCTCCTTTCAACTGACTGATTGCTCACATCAGATCACAAAATGGAGGATGATTACATAATATCTGCCAAACCACTAACAATCATGGCCTGGCCAAGCAGACACATAACCCTAACCATCACAGTCCACCCCTTGTCAACACAGCACCTGTATACATCTCCTTAAACCATACATAATCTCTAAATAAAAACAATTATGAAGTTATACTTGTACCTAATATGATACAACTAATATGCATATGACCAAAAAAGCACTAGCCCCATTTATATCTTATATCTTATAATAAGTAATGGAATAAGAGAGGGAAGAAAACTAAGATAAATGCTCTCTCTCTCTGTGTATATATATGTACACACACACACACATACACGTACAACAAAACAAGAAAGAAATGCTCAAAACAATTACAGTCCCAAAGTTTCTGCAACTGGTCACCTGGTCATAACTGGTATTTAGAACTACCTTCTTCCACTACCCCTTCTGTATTCCCTTTGCCCTCAGCAAGCACCTCAGCTGGTTGTTTTCTGCATGGCGGGGTGACCCAAAACTTCATTCCTAAAGGATCTGGGCCATCAGTACTCATGTAGAAATTTGGTTGTTGTAGTTTTCACTTGATTTTAATCACACCACATGGTAGTATTAACAGACATCCTAAGGGATCTCCTGCAATCCAGATATACTTTTCTTTACCTCTATTAAGTAATATCAATCTGATTTTCCCTTGGTAATCAGGATCAATGACACAAGACAATATGTTAACTCCCTTCTTTGCCGGTTGATCCAGAGGCATGAGGAGCCCAAAGTGGCTGGGTAGCATTCTTAACTTCTAGTTCAATGGAATCAGTGTTGTGTCTCCTGGTGGGAACATTTATCCCTTTGGAACTACGACCTATAGACCTGCAGAGCATAGGGTCATGGGGACAGGAAGCAAAAATTTTGCAAGTGGGTCATTAGGGTTAATAGGGAGTGGCATCATTCCCATTTTCACCCCTTGATTCCTGGACCCATGAATCCTAGCTATGGGAGAAACAGTATATATATTAGATGCTGGTTTAGAGCGTATATAGCCTCCTGGAGAACACTGCTCCAACTCTGCAAGGTATTGCCACCTAGCTGGCACCTTAACTGTGTCTTTAGAAGGCCATTCCATTGTTCTATCAAGTCAGCTGCTTCAGGATGATGGGGAACATGATAAGACCAGTGAATTACATGAGCATGGGCCCACTGAAGCACTTCATTTGCTATGAAGTGAGTTTCTTGATTCAAGGCAATGCTGTGTGGGATATCATGACAGTGGATAAGGCATTCTGTAAGTTCACAGATGGGAGTTTTGGCAGAAGCATTGTCTGCCATGATTCTCAGTGGTTTGGCAGATATTGTGTAATCCTCCTCCATTTTGTGATCTTGATGTAAGCAGTCAGTCAGTTGAAAGGGGAGTTTCCTTGGGGTTGTGACCTTCATCCAATATATATGGCAGTTCTGGCAAAGCTTGCCCTCTCTTGATCCTGCATCTGACTTGCCATCCTGTGACCTCTGGTTCTTGGGGAAGTGAGCCAACAGCCTGCCATCTGACCTGCAGATGTTGGGATTTGCCAGCTCCCGTAACCCCGTGAGCCAGCAGCTTTCTGCCTGACCTGCTGATTTGGGGTTTGTCAGCCCATGCAACCACGTGAGTCAGGCGAAACCTCCAGCCTGATGCCTGACCCATGGATTTGGGACTTGCCAGCCTCCACAATTGCATGAGCTGTTTCCTTGAAATAAATCTCTCTATATATGTTTATGTATATGCTTCACTAGTTTTTTTCCTCTAGAGAAACCAGCATAAGACATTTCGTACTGAAAGTGGAGTTGCTGCTCTAAGAGATATGTAAAATGTGGAAGCAGTTTTGAAATTGGGTAATGGGTAGCAGTTGGAAGATTTTTAAGGTGCCTGATAGTAAAAGCCTAGATTGCCTGGAAGAGACTGTTGGAAGAATTATGGACGTCAAAGACAATTCTGGTGAGGGTTCAGAAGAAAGTGAGGAAAGCCACAGAGAAAGTCTCTGTTGTCTTGAAGAATACATACGGCACCGAAATGTGGACATTAAATGTGCTTCTGGTGAGGTTTTAAAAGGAAATGATGAACTTGTGATTAGACAATGGAGAAAGGGTGATGCTTTTTATGCAGTGGTAAAGAACTTGTTTGAATTATGTTCAAATGTTTGGGGGAAGGTAGAACATGTAAGTAATGAACCTGGCTATCTGGCTGAGGAGATTTCTAATCAATATCTTGAAGGGGCCATGTGGTTTCTCCTTGCTGTTTATAGTAAAATGCAAGAGGAAAGAGATGGACTTAAAAATGATCTGTGCAAAATGAGAACAAACCTTAAAGATTTGGAAAATTCTGTTGTACAAACTAAGGACACATGCCCTTGAATCTTCACCAAGGACATGGCTACACAAGCTTTTGTTAAAGAGATTAAGCCTGTGACTGATGGATCTATCCAATTATCACAGGTGAATACCCACCAACTTAGACCGAAGGGGACAGAGAAAGAACTAAAGGAACACTGCCTGCCTCTTGGAATTCTCCAGGCAGGAAACAGGCCAAGGGAGCTACATCTGTTGTCTTTCAAGAAAAGAAAAGAACCATCCCTAGAACAGCTCAGAGATCAGCACAACTGCTGGAAGGAGCAAGGGAAGCAGAGCTGCCTAGGTCTCAAACGGTAAGACCATGGCCTACGGGCTCTGAAAGGGTGGGGCCATGGCCCCTGGGGTCTCAAAGGGTAGAGCCATGGCCTCCTAGGTTTCAAAGAGTCAGATCTTCACCAGCTTGGTTCCAGTGCATGGGGCTGCCGTTCCGTTTGGCCAAAAGGATGGGACCAGTGCCCAAAGCTGAAGGAGTGGGTCTGCTATGCCCAAGAGGCAGAAGAATGGGGCCTGCCAGGGCTGAGGGGGTGGGTCACCACTCAGATGGACTAGGAGAATGGGGCCACCCAAAGCTGAGAGAGCAGAGTTGCTGTCCCAGTGGGTCTGGAAGGTGGAGCTGAAGCCCAGGGCCAAGGGGCCTCCACCCAGAATCCAGAAAGCATAACCAATACCCAGAGTCTGAAGGACAGAAGCCTTGCCCAGATGGTCCCAAAGAACAGAGGATTATTTTCAAGCCTTGAGAGCTAATGTAAATTGTTCTGCTGGGTTTTGGACTTGCTTGGTACCTGTTATCCCTTCTTTTCCTCCAATTTCTCCCATTTGTAATGGAAATATCTACTTTGTGCCTGTTCCACCATCGTACTTTGGAAACAGAGAACTTGTAATCTAGATCTCACAGGTTCACAGATGAAGAAGAGTTTTGCCCCACGATGGAATATACCTCAAGTTTCACACATATTTGATTTAAATGATTGAGAAAATCAGATTTTGGACTTGGAGTTGATTTATGACTTTTAGGATAATGTGATGAGGTAAATGTGTTTTGCATGTGAGAAGGACATGAATTTTGGGGGCCCAAACAGTGGAACCTTACGGATTAAACCCTAAAAATATGCGTTGTAATTCCTAACCTCTCTGCCTGTGGTTATAATCCTATTTGGGAATGGGTTTTATCTTTGTTATGTTAATGAGGCAGGACTAGTGTAGGGTGTGTCTTTATTCAACCTCTTTTGAAATACAAAAGATTAAACAAGCAAGTGAGCTAGCACAGACACAGGAAGAGAGATGTCAAACCACATGAAAATCACCCAGGAGCAAAAAGCTCAAAGACACAAGGACCTTCCCAGAGAGAAAAAGCCTTCCCCCAGAGCCAGTGCCCTAAATTCAAACTTGTAGCCTCCTAAACTGTGAGAAAATAATTTTATGTTTATTAAAGCCACCCACTTATAGTATTTTTGTTATAGTAGCACTAGATAATTAAGACAATAACCCATTCTTGTGGAGCAATAGTTAAGCACTCAACTGCTAATCAAAAAGTCAGTGGTTAGAACCCACCAGCTGCTCCACAGGAGAAAGATGTGGCAGTCAGCTTCCTTAAGGATTTACAGCCTTGGAAACCCTATTGGGCAGTTCTACTCTGTCCTATAGGGTCTTTGAGTCAGAATTAACTTGATTGCAATGGGTTTGGTTTTTCTGTTTGTTTGTTTGTTTTTTTTACCTCATTCTCCTTTTCCTAATATCACAGAACATGTCCCTGTGCTTTTACTTCTGGTAACCACACATCTAAGCTATGGAACTACTACCGTGATGTAAATATGAGACAGTAAAGGAGAATCTTTGAAAAAATTTATGGGCAGTTAGATTAATAATGAAGATGAAAGAAAGAATGACTGGGCAATGGTCTTTAAGTCACAGCTGATGAGTATGATTACTTCATACCTAATGAGTCTTCAAAAATAAATAGTGAGTTGTGTAGGTAAGTCACTGCAAAATGTTCTGTGTGCTTCTAATACATCAAAGACAGTAAAAGTGTTTCTACCCATCCCTCATGGAGAGAGCCAAGAGCTCTAGAAAAAATTAATCACTCCTTTCTCTCAACTCCTCTAGCCATTTTATGCATACTATTTACTTGTTAGCATTAACTTCCTGATATTGTTCTCACATATATACGTATATATTATATTCTCATATATATGAATTACTAGCGCATATATATGTATGTGTCTACGTGTGTGTGTGTATATATATATATATATATATATATGCTTTACTTTTATAACTGGATCTTAAGGCTGTATCTTTTATTTCTTTGTACCTCACTTCCATTCCTCCAATGCCTAGCATAACGTCTTACACTTAGCTGGCCTTCAACAAATCTTCCTTAATTGACTACATTTACCATGATTAGTATCCCTTCTGTCAGAGAAGGAAATGCTATTGATCTAATTTATTTTTATACAACCACATAATTTATTTCCTAAGTATTTTCTTCTGCAGATTAAAACTGTTTACTAACCACACCCGTGTATCAAATATTCTGTGCATCAAAATAATGCTGATTAGCCCATACTATTTAGAGGCATCCTTTTTCCCTTTAAATAATGCCAGAAGCTGCATTTGCCCTATTCCAAATCTCAAATGCTCCTGCCATATTTCAAAAGGCATCAAAAACAAGAATTAACAGTAACAATGGCAGCCACAGAAGACTGGTGTTCTCCTGGACTGTGACTGGCCTGAAGCATGCTATCTTTAGGCAAGAAGAGTCTGACCTCATCTCTTTTGCTTTAAGCTCCCACTTGAATGGTGGCAGGTCTATAAATCCTGTGGCCATAGTAATACTTTTAGCTGCTTGGCAACAGATGCTGGGAAATGATAGAAGAAACAGATTATCAAGTCTTTAAATTTTTGTTATCTTACAAGGATCCTGTGAATGCACACCACAAGCTCACAGGCTATAAACGCTTCAGATCGTCCTCCATAAAACAAATTTTTCCTGAGAAGCTCAAATCACCTTACCCTGAAGTTCTCCACTCCGACTGTAGAGCTCCCTTCTCTGTTCTCGCAAATAGGCACTCATACTGATGGCATGGGAGGATGACTCAAATCTGCAATGAAACATAGGGTAAAAAAAAAAATGATTAGGTGCTGTTATGGATTGAACTGTGCCCCCACAAAATGTGTGTCAACTTGGCTAGGCTATGATTCCCAGTATTGTGCAGTTGTCCTCCATTTTGTGATCTGATATATTTATCCTATGTGTTGTAAATCCTAACCTCTACCATGTTAATGTGGCAGAATTAGAGGCAGTTGTCAATGAGACAGGACACAATCTAGAGGGTTAGGTTACATCTTGAGTCATTCTCTTTTGAGATATAAGAGAGAGAAGTGGGCAGACAGGAGGGGGGCCTCATGTCACCAAGAAAGAAGAGTCGGGAGTAAGTGCATCCTTTGGACTCGGGATCCCTGTGTAAGAAGCTCCTAGACCAAGGGAAGATTGATGACAAGGACCTTCCCCCAGAGCTGACAAAGAGAGAAAGCCTTCCCCTGGAGCTGGCACTCTGAATTTGGACTTCTAGCCTCCTAAACGTGAGTCACTTTTTCTTTGTTAAAGCCATCCACTTATGGTATTTCTATTACAGCAGTACTAGATGACTAAGACAAGTGGCAACCAAATAGATGGTGTCCAGCTATGTACTCCAGAAGTATTCCCCTCCCATCTGTGTGATGCTCCCTGTTGTTCCACGGTCAAGACATTCTGGCTAGAGCATTGCAGGGCAGGGACAGCTGCCACAGATCTAGATTTAAGGATGATATTCCCAGCTAACACGCCTCTACAACACGACTTGGATCTTGTACTTATTCTCTGTGTCAACTGGTACAACTCTGATCGGCCCCAACTTTGTTTTACCTCCAGATTTCCATCATTCTTTCCTACACACACACAAGAGCATACTATAAAGTCATTTGAATGTGGCTTCTATCCAGCTCAAAAGTCAACCAGTAACCATCAGCTGCCACCACAGAAATACTGGCTCCTTAGAGCAGACTCGCCTCCCCAGTTGGAGGACAAGGACCAAGGGCACGCTAGAAATGCTGTTGAACAACTACACTAAAGCAGCAAGGCAGCTATGTCCTCAAAATGTCCTCAAAAACAACACAGTTCTGCAATGGCTGGCAGTTTTTGACCTGTAGCCTACCATATAAAATACTCCCCAAAATACCATGCTACAAATTGTTTGGTTATAGCTACCCAGAAACTGTTTTCAAGGTCAGAAATACAGGTGATAGGCTCATTATAAAGAATGGGTCTCTTCTACTACTATAGAAACTCATGAAAACGTTTACACACAAAAAGAAACAATTTTTGATGGTTACGAGGGAGGGGAGGAGTGGGGATGGAAAATCCCTAAACAGACAACAGGTAACTGGTAACTTTGGTGAAGGATAAGACAGTACACAATACTGGGGAAGCCAGCACAACGTGTCCAAGGAAAGGTCACAGAAGCTCCACAGACACATCCAAACTCCCTTAGGGACCGAATTGCTGGGCTGAGGGCTGTGGGGACCACGGTCTCAGAACACCTAGCTCAACTGGCATAACATAGTTTATAAAGAAAACATTCTACATTCTACTTTGGTGAGTAGCATCAGGTGTCTTAAAAGCTTGTAAGAGGTCATCTAAGATACTCCACTAGTCTCACCCCGTCTGGAGCAAAGCGGAATGAAGAAAACCAAAGACACAAGGGAAAGATTAGTCCAAATGACTGATGGACCACAAGTTCTACAGCCTCCATCAGACTGAGTCAAGTACAGCTAGATAGTGCCTGGCTACCACCACCAACTGCTCTGAAAGGGATTACAAGAGAGGGTCCCGGACAGAGTTGGAGAAAAATGTAGAACAAAATTCTAACTCACAAAAAGAAAAAAAAATACCAGACTTACTGGTCTGACAGAGACTGGAAAAACCCCGAGAGTATGGCCCCCAGACACCCTTTTAGTTCAGTAACCTCACTTCTGAGGTTCACCCTTTAGCCAAAGATTAGACAGGCCCGTAAAATAAAATGAGACTAAATGGGCACACCAGCCCAGGGGCAAGGACTACAAGGCAGGAGGGGACAGGAAAGCTGGTAATGGGGAACCTAAGGTCGAGAAGGGGAGAATGTTGACATGCCATGGGGTTGGTAACCAATGTCACAAAATAATATGTGTACTAATTGTTTAATGAGAAGCTAGTTTGTTCTGTAAACTTTCATCTAAAGTACAATAATAAAAAGAAAAGGAAAAAAAATGAGTCTCTAAAAGCTGAAACAATGAATACCAAAAAGGAAAACAAGGAAAAGTGAAGAGAAACTTGCAAACAGGAAGGGGGAGAGAGAAAAAAAAAAGCAGGTAAAATTAAGACTGTACCAAACAGAAAATCCTTTGGTGTGCTAAGAAATTCCATTTCAAACCTGAGATTTCCAAATGTAGGCTAACAGGTTTACAGAGGAGAAATCCTTCTAGAATTACTGTCACCAAGGGGTAAACAGCAACATTATGAAAAAGCAACAGTGACAATGGGATAGACTTCCGCCATGAGGAAGGAGTGCTGTCAGCTCCTTAATTACGCCTTCTTTATCCATTCCTTGGCAAGGAACATGAATACCAAGATGAATGTCAGTCTAGGGGAAACACCTGGGTTACTTGATCCTGTCCTTGCACCCTGCCAAGAACTGAGAGGACACTAAAAGCCAGAAGGAAGACGAAGTGTGCAGTACTTCAAAAGTGCCACCTGCCAGTCAAATGCAGAAAAGAAGCCACTGACCTCCAAAAAGCATGCTGGCAGCTATTGATCAGAGATGGCAAGGGAAAAAAATAAATGCTGGAGCAAAGAATAGAGAGACTCACATGGTACAATAAGAGAGAACTTAAACACACTTAATTAACCTTAGCTAGGGGCAATTAGAGAAGGGTAATAAAGTCCTTCACAGATGTGATACAAACAGATTACAGCTTGCCAAAATCTTAATCTTTTATGACCTGATGTATTTTTGCTACTCAAGAATCCCTTTTATGTTTGCAGTAAGTCACAGATTGATATGATTTTACAGTAAAAGAGGCATTCAAGACTATTCCATCTCACTTCCTTATTTTATAGCCAAAGGCACTGAGGGCCACCAAAACAAGAGACTTACCCTGGCTCACAAGGCCTGTTAGAGTAGAACCAAGACTAGAAACAGGTGCATCTGTAATAACGGCCTCATTCGGTGTGGCTGATGTGCTTTTATTACCTACTAGCCAATCATAATAAATGTGTAACAATTATTTAAGTTAATTTGTTTATTTTCAACAATTCATACCTTCCCGATACCACAACTTCAGAAGGATAAGTTAAAGGTTAGAAAATGGATGTGTGGTCTGAGGTTTAAAGTTAGGGGTGAGGGTTGAGTGCTTGAAATCTAAAATTCTTTAAATCTGTTCTCCATAACACATCTAGACACAGAATGGTAGGTTCAACTAGAAAAGAAAAGGCCTGGTTATGTGGCATCTGTCACCTCCATCAGTCACCTCTTCCTTCTACTGTGTTTCTTCCTTGCTGGCACAGCCCCAATTGTATATGGGATTTATGCTTCCTTGCTCCCTCTTTACTCAGCCATGTGCTCAGGAAAAATGGCTCCTTCCCCAGATCCAGCCCTAGAACCAGAGCCGAACACTGACTTGTTTAAGACAATCTCCGCGGTTCCCTTCCCCCCCAGTGAGCATAAGACCCAATCCTAGAACCTGAGGGGAACTTGCAGAGGAGCTTGCTCACTGACACAAACCTCTTTTTCATTAATAAAAGAAGATACTTAGGAAAAATCACACCTTGTTTCCCTGGCATCACCATCTTTACTGGACCAGCACCGATACAAACGTCACTACCACGTTGAGGATGACAAGGCAGAAATGGAAAAGGGCTGTCTTTAACTGTATTGTAGTGTTGAATTAAGGAACTCTCCTATGTGCAAGACAATAACTTTTCTATGGTTTAAGCTATGTGATGTTACTTGCAGCCTAAAGTATTTTAACGGATAGTGTATCTAACCTCTGAATAAAACCTAAGAAAAAGAAACACATTCAATAATTCATTGAAGGCAGGATGCAAACTAAATCTCTCTGCAAGATGGCAAGATAAATGAACTGCTGAAACCTTCCTTAATGATTAAAAACTCTGTGAATCCACAATAAAAACAAATCTCAAGAGTGAATCAGTAAAAGGTACCAGAGCTTCAGCTATTCAAAACAAATGAATTCAAAATACTGGGATGATACTTTTATACTCACTTTACACGCTTAGATTTATATTTATATTTTATTCCTTAAATACCTATTAACCCCTCAAAAGAGCACATAGGTCTGGAATTAGACTGCCAAAATTTAAATCCTACTTCTACTACTTGCTAGCTAAGTGATCTTACATAAGGTACTTAAACTCCTTTGTGTCTCAATTGTTTATGTGTAATAGAAGACTGACCTAAAAGCAAACACCTATAAGGTAGTAAGCAGTAAATGAGATAATCCATGACAATGGCTTAGCACCTTGGCTAGCAGTTAGTAAGAATTCAGTGTTAGCTATCACTGCTCCAGCTAAAATTTGGTACAATCTGATTAAATTATGCCTAAACGAGATTTTTTTGAGAAACTTACCTAGCACAGTGCTTGGCACATACCAAAAGCACTGAATCGATGGTAGCTGCTGCTGTTGTTGTTATTAATGCTAATATTAATAGTACTAACTCTTAGCTGTAGAGTCATACACTTTGGGCACATGGCCTGGTGGGATTAACTAAGATAGTAATTAGATAAAAAGAATTTCAAGATTGTTCCTTTATTAAAATATAACCACATATAACTCCATGCTGCTTACATCGGGAGATCTGCATAAAGTTATTAATAAGGGTTGCTACTTGGCACCTGGGGCTTTTTCAAAGGCTGAAATATTTCATTTCCTTTTATTTCATATACAATTCCCCAAAAACAACCAGGGAGCTTCATTTCTCATCATTTCATGTAAGACTCCCAGAAACAAATTCCAGAACTTTTTGTCAGAAGTTTTAGGTAGTCCAGTAACCATACTCCAAAAGATTCACTTCCCTTTGCAGAAAACAACAGTACACAAGGGTCAATACTTCACTTCCCATAAATAACTTCAAACCAACTTCTACCGGAGAAGGTAACTGCTGTCAGTAAAATACAAAGTCATCCTATTTGGGATCTAAGACTCTTTCACACCAGCCATCTTAGAAGCAGGTCCGGTACTTACTTAAAAAGAGAATTTTTTGGCCTTTGAGGTTTCTTCTTGGCAAAAAAAGCCGCAAACTCGCGTCCAGTGCTGGCATAACTTAGTGGAGCTGATGGTTCAGAGGCCGTACGAGTATTTTTCATGTCCAAGTACTCAGTCAATAGCATCTGTAAATCAAATAAACAGTTTAATACCCACAATTATAATGTGCAGGTAAGAAAAACACATTTAAAACCATGAAAATCTGATTCTAAAACTTCATCCTCGACATCCAGAAATAATATATATTAACTTGGCCATTCGTCTTTCTGGTTGAAGGTCAGAGGAAAAGATTCATTATTGTTGCTGCCTGTTCTAGGAACAGGCTATGGTGGGCATTTGAAAATGGGGGTAAAAGGAGAGATTTTACTGAGTGTATACTATGTGCTAGGCACTGTGCTAAGTTAAAATATTGTCACTTAATCACAATTTACTCCTCATTATTCCAAATTACAGTAGCATCAGCAGCAATGCCATGATATTTTCTGAGTGCTCTCTCTGCTCTGGGCATGCTAATCCATTTAGATGTATTATCTCATTTGAAGCACAAAATTTTCTCTGGTAGGTTATTAGATTATACATAAGAAAATGGGAGCTTAGAGAAGTTCAAGAGTTGCAAAAGTGAACCTTGGTGGACTGATGCGGAGTCCACGCTCTTACCCCTTACTCTAACACCGCACAGTGGATCACCACTCTAACCAACCTGCCAACAAGAGGTATCGTAGGTCAGAGGAAGCTGAGCAGTCTCGATTGACAGAGTACTTCTAGGGTCACTACTCATCTTGATAGTTTCAAAGCAAGAAAAGCAACTACTTTTTTGGTCTACAATTACTAGTGGGTCCTGCTTGTAAAATCAATCCATTCTAGAGCCACTCTAGGGCCAAAGCTGGAATCATCTGTTCTACTATTTCTATAGCCAGTATTCTAAAAAGTTAAGCATTATTTGAAAGAAAATGGCAGATCCAAACAGAAATTAACACAGCTCCTAAGAATATCTAACCTGAGACTAAAGTACATCAACTCATTTCTATAATCACTCACCATATTAAAAATTTCAAGATATCCAAGTACAGAGAGGCAAGCAATTCTACCCATGACTGAAGTAAAAGCTTTTCAGAGACTCAGAGTCCCATATAATCATTCATTCCTGCATGCATGTGTACGCACGCACACACGCATTCAATGAAGGTTTGAGGACCATATTTAGCAGCAGCATCAAAAATCGATTTCATGAGGCACCCTGCGAACATGGCACTGCCCCAAGTAAAGTTCAAAGCAATTCTGTCTCTAGTATAAGCACAAACACAATTGAGAACTTATCAAATACCAGAAATTTTAGAAACATGATCTTACTTGACCCTCATATCAAATCTATGAGGTAAAAGTTACTATCTACATTACAGAGTTGAAGAAAACAGAAGCAGTGATTTTAAGAAACTAGCCTAATTAGAGAATAACAGGCCAGGATTCAATGCCACTGTAGTTGATTCCAAAGCCTGGGCCCTTTACCATGACATTCTACAGCGACTAAGAGCATACAAACTGCCAATAAGAATGGGCCTATGGATGGCACTAAACAGAGCTGATTTATTTCACCTTCTGTACAATAAAGACTGCACAGGGAAAGTATAAAACATGTTAACAGATTGGTCAATGTTTTTTTTATTTATTTACGAGACCACTAGAGTATTATTCAACATGTTGATGAAGAAACATTGAAAAATCCAATCTCTGTTAATGCAGCATCCAAGCGGCCCACTAATCAGCAAGAATATCGAGTTGGGTCTCTACTTTCATAACAACTCAACCGAGGGACTCAATTATATTGTAGACTTGGCACTACTGCTAGTAACATTATTTTATGCAATCTGTGGTCAAAAGAAGGCTAGTAAACCAGAACGGAATTTCAAATTGATGTAATGTAAAAAGACATCTACAAATCCACTGGGTCACTCGGGTGTTGGTTTAAATACCAACGTGACAGAGATGTGTCTTTATCAAAGCATGAAGACACACTAAACCAAAAAATTATTTTGAGGTAGCTATTGTCCTGGAATTCAATGACTGGCCTTGTATAATAAAATAAACCTTTTTTGAGCACCCACAAGAATGAAAAGAATGTACTTTTAGAGGCGTCCTCAAGGATGACCTAACCAACTCAAGGGCGTAGGCCATAATGTTATGACCTCCAAATTTCAATCACAGGAATGTTGCCATAGGATAGCCCAGCTCATTTGACAGCAATCTGTTTTTCGGTGCTGATGCAAGTCTGTGGCAAACTGCAGGGTCACATGATGATACAGTCATCATGGTTAAGACACAAGCTGGTTATATGAACTCACAATATTTTCATATATTAACACTCGTTAAATAATGCTTCCTTTATTCTAATAATTTCCATTAAAAAGAATCCTACACAGGATTCTTAATTAATGATTGTATTTACTATGCCTCCCTTCTGAATAAATCAACTCGTGTTTGGATTGTAGCCTTAACACATAAATCATACATTTTATTTCTATGAGTCCCACAATCTATCACTTTGATTCCTGAAAATAACAACAACAGCAAGATCGAAACAATGTTGTTCTTGTTGTTGTTAGGTGGCATCGAGTCGGTTCCAACTCATAGCGACCCCATGTACAACAGACCGAAACACTGCCTGGTCCTGCGCCATCCTCACAATCCTTGCTATGCTTGAGCCCACTGTTGCAGCCACTGTGTCAATCCATCTCATAAAAACAATATAACAATATTTTAAAAATTAGGACTGTGACTTAAAATTGCTCAATGCTATCAGGTTTTCCCCTAAGTTCGCTGGCAAATGGAATGTTAACAACAAAGAGAAAACAGAAAAGGCTGAGTTAGTTTTTCAAGATAGCAGTCTAATTTCCCCCCATTGTACAAAGACTGCAACATTCTGCAGTAAGAAAAGCAAAAGAAAAACAAACACAGTAATTCTGAAAATGGAATGGCTGTCTGGTTAATTACACTCATTATCAATGGTAATTGTACAGTTAAAACCACCAGTAGGATGGTCATGTGAATAATTTCTTACTTTTGTATTTGGAGTAAAATAAACCAACCAAAAAATTCCAAGAGTATCAAACACCTGATCGGTAAAGCTGAGCTCAAAGCGCTCATGTTTAGCTTTTCTCCCCCCCCTCCTTTGACCTAACAAAAGAGTAATTCTTAAGAACAACCAACAGTTTTAGTAGCTTCCAAAAGAATATTTTTATTTATTGTAAATTAAACATATTTATTTAACACATAAAATATGCAAAGTATTGTGTTCAGTATAAAAACAGGACACAAAAATGAATCCTATCCTAAACGTGCTCATTGAGTAATGGGCACATGGATGTACAAGGGAGAAAGTGGTACCCTAGGAAGCATCAGGACAAAGCAACTGCTATAAGCATTTAGAGGAGGACAAGATTGCTCCTAACTCAGACAACAAGAAAAGGTTTCAAGATAATAGCACTATACTCCCAAAACCCATTACCATCAAGTCAATTCAGACTCACAGCAACCCTACAAGACAGAGTAGATCTGTCCCATAGGGCTTCCAAGGCTGTAAATCTTTACGGGAGCAGACTGCCACATCTTTCTCGTGTGGAGTGGCTGGTGGGTTCGAACTCTTAACCACTGTACCACCAGGGCTCCAAAAAAGAAATAGTGCTGGGAAAACAGAAGGACATAAGTAAGCACCAAGGTTTTTGTTTGTTTGTTTGCTTTTTTAATGTTTGAGTTTATGTTATTTTTTTCTGCTTCTAACTAGCTCTTCCATCTATCAAGGGTGGGGAGCAAGATCTATAAAGTGAACCAAAGTAGAACTTAACTGATTTTAACAAACGACATGTGCTCCACTCAGATGTTAGCAAATCACAGTCCACATGCATGGAGAAGGCGACCCCATGCGAGAGGAAACCAAGGTGCGTTCTTCAGCTTTGAGGTCTTCTTCTCCAGGAGGTGTTATCTTGACTTTCTTCTTTTGAAAAGTTCTTTCTGCAGTGGTCTTGTTATCTCACTTACCCTTGGTCTTCTGATGACAACTAGCTGCCTCTAGCTTCACGATCCATGTAAACTTGTAACATCCGCTGGTGGTAGGCTACAACTTTCTTATCCTCTTTTCTCTCTGGAGGTCAACATGACACCAGGAGGCTGACACCCAAATTGAGACTATCAGGTAACCAGTGAACATATCTCCAAAAGATGCTAGTTTTCTTTCTGGTTTTCACATCCCTACCACAGTTATTTTACATCAATGCCAGACATTAATAATTCATTTTCTCAGTGAAAAAATAGCACATATAAGAAAATTGTAATAAATGCTTCTGATTGACCTAGTTCATATTTCAACAATATACGTATACATACATAGCTAGATGCATAAATTTGCTCACATTTGTATATGCATACACATATATAGAGACCACGAACATGAGAGAGCATACAGCGTGAATATACCATGATTCCTGCCTTCTGGGAGGTTACTGTCTATCTTAACAGTCAACCAAGACCTCTCACCCTCATTAAAACCCCAAAAGCAGTTTGTATCTCTCAAAGATTTTATCTTATAGTGCTTTGGTTTATCACCTGCCTCTTTGTTCAGGCCATGCCTTTTCTTTGTGTCTCTGTCAGCACCTAACACAGTGCCTTGGACAAAGTAGGACCTCTCTAGTGTTGTTATTAGGTGCCATCGAGTCGGTCCCAAATCATAGCAACCCTACGTACAAAAGAATGAAACACTGCCTGGTCCTGTGCCATCCTCACAATCATGGCTATGTTTGAGCCCTTGCTGCAGTTACTATGTCAAAGCATCTCGCTGGGGGTTTTCCTCTTTCAATGACCCTCTACTTTACCAAGCACGATGTCCTTCTCCAGGGACTGGTCCCTCCTGATAACATGTCCAAAGTACGTGAGATGAAGTCTCTCCATTCTAGCTTCTAAGGAATGTTCTGGCTATACTTCTTCCACAACAGATTTGTTAGTTCTTCTGGCAGTCCATGGTATATTCAATATTCTGTGTCAACACCATAATTCAAATCAATTCTTCTCCAGTATTCCTTATTCATTGTCCAGGTTTTGCATGTATATGAGGCGACTGAAAACACCACGGCTTGGG